ATTAGTTAGGTCTCTATGACTTCATGAGATTGATGTCAAACGACCAAAATACCGTTTGTATAACTTATTTTAATTTATACTATAAATTAACAAAAAAGTTGGCGTGGTAAGACTGCTAGGCTAGCTAGCAAATGAAGACAACATCCACAAGGACATTCTTCACAAAATTAAAATCACAAATGATATATATGATATATATGGTTGGCATAATTCATCCCTACTGAGCTATGGTTTTGCTCACCTCTAATAGATTTTGCAAGTACTGAACTTGAAATCTAAGACTTGTGATGATTTTGGCATGTTTATAGAGTGTATTGTGTACATAACTTGTGGTTGAATAATGAGCTACTCTTTTAGTGAATTCTTGTGTAGTTCTAACTTGTAAAATAATGTAAAAATGTAAAATTTCGGATGTTGTTGTTTCTGCTGAAAATTCTATGTGAATATTTATTTATTTGTTTAAATGTTCCTCACATTTTAGTTATATTTTTATTTATTAAATTCTATGATTAAGGTGTGAATCACGTCTTAATCCAAGATTAAGTAAATTTGTAGATTGGGGCATGACAGGTAAGCTAGCTAATTACCCAAATACTAAATTGAGTGAAGTATGGATTTGGGCTTGGATATATATCCAAGTGGTAAACTCAGTTCAAGATGATTGAGCCCTTTTCCATAAGAATTCTATAATTGATTATGAAATAGGACCTCATCTAAGGGCCTTAGAATGACTTTTTGCTACAAATACTTGTTTGTTGCGTTTTGGGTTTTTGCCCCCATATAATCGAAGATAAAAAATGAAAGAAGGCTTAAAATCACAAATGATATATATGGTTGACATAATTCGTCTAGTTTTTATTTTGTTAAGAATACCTTTGTGGGCAATGTGGTCTAGCTCAATGGAAAAAAGACATTGACTTGGAAACTAGTAGTCTCAAGTTCGAACTCCCATGACACCTTGGTGGTAAACCTCATCCTCTTTATCGTTTAGATTATCGATTGTATCTTAATAATAAAATAAAATAAAATAAAAACCTTTGTGATGTACATTTATTACTAATCTTAATCAAATCTCCAATTTCCGTCAATTTGTGTAATGAGACAAATTAACAGAATACCTCAATACAAATTTATGGAAAAATTAGTTAGGTCTCTATGACTTCAAGAAATTGATGTCAAACGACCAAAATACCGTTTGTATAACTATTTTAATTTATACTATAAATTAACAAAAAAGTTGGCGTGGTAAGACTGCTAGGCTAGCTAGCAAATGAAGACAACATCCACAAGGATATTCTTCACAAAATTAAAATCAGATGACTAATCTTGACATATGAGATAAACCAACAAGGACCATTTGTGATTTTAAGCCGATAAAATAAATCTATGATATAAGGGTGTTATTATGGCAACTAAATTACTACACACTTAGGCCACAAAGAAATGCAATTGTGACATAAGGAGAACTTTGTGGCTTCTGATTATGTCATAGAGATAAGATCCATAGAGACAAAAAGCCTTGTTGGAATGGCAACAACAACTAATAACGCAATATTTCACCATCTATTTCACTCCAACCTCCCCATCCCTCTACTTCTCCCCAAACACACCACGCCAATTCTTAGGTGATGCCAATTACAATACAAGCACTCTTACTTGTTATATATTCATCCCCAAAAAAACCTATGTAACTACACGCAAATCCCATCTCTTACCACAATCCATCTTACTTTCTCTCACCTTTTTCAGTTTTCTTACCCAAATACCTAATTTACCTAATCGCCTGCTAACTTCCCTAACTTTCTTTGCTCTTTGCCTCTCCTCTCTTTGACATCAAGCGTATGCCCTTCAATTCAATGCTTGTATGCCCATAATCATATTCAGAGGGACTTGGACAACATGATGATGTATTCATAATGATCATCGTGGTGAAGGTGTTTTCTATGGTGGTTAATGACACGTATTTGCTTTAGCTAAGATTTTCAACCCACGACCAACCACTGTGCCTTAGTGGAACTTTTTTGAAACGTAATACATGAACTTAGGTTTCTCTCTCCTATTTCATGACGCCGGAGTGATGAAATCATGCATATTTCTGTGCATGGGGAAACTAATTGCTGTTTCAACAGCTCTAACTAATTGCTTACAAGAGTAACTAATAACAAACTAATCTAATCAGCTAACTACTCTCTTTATATGGATGGTAAAAAGTTATGTATCATTTTTTCAGAGTCACGACTTTAAGAGAATTTTTTTATTGATAAAAGCAAAAACATAGCGCTGGGGATAGCAACCTGAAGTCAATGACAACGTCATCTACGAGGACGCCCCAAAGAATAATGAGTACGACACCTCAAAACAATTAAAAGAAAACCTATGGGCAGATAGACTCGCCTAATCTTCTGGGTCTCTCTGTCTTCTTTTTCTAACCCACCTCTTGATCTCGGTCTTCTTTTTCTAACCCCTTTCAATAATATATCATCGCTAAATTTTCAATTTATATATAAAAAAAAACAAATGAAACACTGCGAAATCATCTATTACATTGTTTGTTGACTAAATTGTATAAAGATTTTGTGTGTGTGTGTGTGTATATCTAGTATTATAGAAAAGTTATTTGTAAAAACGGGAATTCTAATATTAATTATTATATAGGTTTGAGTGGGTTGTGAAGGGTATTATGACTGAAGATCAAGAAGGCTGAACGGGTTCCAAAGTGGATGACTGACTGAATGAAGAATACTTCATTTGGTCCAAAAGTGGAATTGTGAGTCTATATAGATAAATATGTAGGATCAAGAGGAAATTTAACAGAAGAAGAGGAAGAGAGAGAAGATTGAACAAATAAAGGATTTTAGTATATTTTTAAAAATTATCAATCAAACTTCAAGGTCCAGACAAGATCTAAAGTATTCTAAAAAATATTATGTTTTATTTGTGATGACCTCAAATATATGTTTGTGTTTTTTTTTTTTTTTTTTTGGTGGTCAAATATATGTTTGTGTTTTCTATACGGTAGAAATTTAGCGTTTCTTGTCACAACCCTTTTTCATAGTAGAAGTATTTACCGGTTTCCCCAGGAAAATGTGTTGGTCTAGCAGAAACGATTCTTTATTAGACTGGAATTTGATTCGCCAAATACATCATTATTGTATACACTTTCATATGTATGGCGCAACCCAATGTTTGTTTTTGAAGTTTCTAATATCTTACTTTTTTATAATCAAAATATCTAAATAATATGAAATTGAGTCGGAGAAGGGCAATCACTCATTCTCAAAATCAGCATTCTTAAGACCAAAAAGTTGGGTGGAAAAGGAGGGAAAACCCTCCGTTCATATGGTCACATGATACATTTTGTACATATGTCATAATATAGGTGGATAACATGATTTATTTTCTTCCATTTTAGGAAATAATATCAATAACTATTCACTTATATTATAACACGTGTGAAAACACTACTTAAAAAAGTATTAGTCCGCCACAGTTTTAAAGTAGTGGATCACAAACAATTTAATATTTGCAAGAGTGAGAAGGCACGGTGGGATCCACCATTTATAGGCCACGAACACTGTTTGCCGTGGCCAAAAGTAAATTAAGCTGTAGTTTATAAACGGCTTTTCTAGTAGTGAAAATGTATTACATAACCGTACAACCATATAGTATTCTATAATCCCTCGCACAACGCATGATACGGGTAAATGAGTTGACAACATTTTCAGAGACTTGCCAACCAACGGCTCATATTTCGGCGCTAAAAGTGGAAAATTAGATTTCCAAGTCAGAATCATAATTAGTTGAATGCATGTCAACGGGAATTTCAAAAAACCTTAACAGTGGAAAAATACCTATTAGCATTCAACAAATGTCAAATTATACCTAACAGAGAGCAAAATCAACAAAGTACCCTCAACAGCATGTGACACCAATGAACAGACAAACTTTCTCTTGATTCAGAATAGTTCTGTCCATTCTTGTGAAACGTCATCAGCATAACTACCAACTAAAAGGAAAGGAAGAGAAGAGAAACTTTGGTAAATCTATCATTCGATATCTATTTAATTAACTTTTTAGAAGGGAAATAAGTATAAATTTCGATTTTTTAGATAGAAAATGTTCCAACGTGATAGTAAGTTTAGATGACTTCTTTCTTTGTTTCGCAATCACGATATAAAAATCATATCCCTTATAGTTTAGATTAACGCTTCTACTAAAAAAACCGTAAGAATATAAAATTACATTTCATGACTTGTAATAACATAAAGAAAACAATATATGGTTTTTAAAACGTATTTATGCACTTGCATTCGTATCTTTATGTTGGAAAATTTTAGTTAATATATGAAAGTTGGTATATGTGTCAAATGGTAGAATGACAAAAAAAAAACCCAATGACATGCTGACGTGGTGGTACAAATCTACTCGAATTATAAAGCGTTCATTTAGAATTTATTATTAAAATATATATCAAATTCTTCTATATGGGATTGATTCATTTCTTATTTTGGTTTTTGCAATATTCCTATATTGAGTATGGTTCTTTAGCAAAGTTTTTGATTTCCTCACAAATTTGTGAGGGGAACAAGAGTCACGCGGGTAATTTGTATTCATATGTATGTTTGTGTGTTGGTAAACAAGCACAAACACCAGTAACCAAACTAAAATCAATGCATCCAATTAATATATTACGTTCACATTTTCTTCAGTGGAGAGAAAACTAATGTGAGACCAGAGAGTCGGCTAACAGCCAGCCAAAGTAATTCTTTCGTCTCAATTTCCTGCTTCTCAATCTCCATACTTCTCTGACTCAAGCACTCTTTGCTTCTAATTCACAATCTCTCTCTCTCTCTCTCTCTCTCTAGAAACTTTGACTTCTCTTCTATAAATATGTATTAGGTCTTTCATGATCACATCCCATATCCTCCAAGCGTCTGTCTTGAACGTTTTTGAATTTGGACATGCAATTGTTTTTGTATCCAAAACTTTTGAAAGTTCAGATGAATTCACAAAGCCATTTTCTCTCCATACTTCTGATAGCTTTCTTAGCCTCTTTTTCCTTCTCTTTTAGCAGTAACGTCCCAGAGGACCCACTTGTACTTGATCATCATCACCATCAAATTAATTCTAGTGGTGATCATGATGAATATATAAAACCCTCCCCTACAATATCAAGGACAAGCAGGCTAGCTATTCTCAGCTGGGCAATTGCTGCTCATCATTCAGCTTCAGCAAATAATATTGTTGTTAATGTGGATAGTTTTGGAGCTAAAGGAGATGGCGGGGATGATACCCAGGTAACCCATCTAAATTATTTATTTATTTTTCTCTTTTTTAATTATTTTTGTTGGCAAAAGTTAATATTTTCTCTTTAATTATTTAATATATATATATATATATATTTTTAAATGTCCTTATTCATTCTTTTTTACTTGTTTAAGGGATCAGGTATTTTGGATGGTCTTGTTTTAAATTATATGAGAGATTAATGAGTAGCATGGGGTTTGTTGAAAGGTTGGCGATTATATTTTTTATTTTTGTGTTTTATTAGGCGTTTAGAAAAGCTTGGAAGAAGGCTTGTTCTTCTCAAAGGGGAGTTGATCTCGTGGTTCCTAACAGGAACTATCACCTGAAACCAATCAATTTCTCTGGTCCTTGCAATTCTCCTATCACCCTCAAGGTGAGTTCATAAATTAATTGAAGCACATACATGCATACATTATTAGCTATACATACATTACATACTGTACAACACAACACTCATAAAATGCATGATGCACATGCTTGTATAAATTTAGACTACGCATCCACAAGTAAATTTATTTCCCCCCTAAGTTCTTCATGTGGGACCCACACTCTTCGTTTCAAAGATGAAATAAAAAATAGAAAAAAGAAGCGTTGTTCGAGTGGCGTGGGGATCTTTGTCTAATATACTTGTCGACTTTCAACTAATATGATTGCTTTACCACATCTCTTATAGAGGTGGTACGTAGTTTAATCTCATATTTTGAAATTTTTTTTAAATACAATTGATAGTCAACTAAATTATCAAGGTGTTAAGTCAATGCATTTTCCTACTGAGCTAGACCTCATTGACCCATGATATCTTAGTAGTATATGTGTGAGAAATTTCTTTCCCCTTATAATTTAGACTATCGTTTATATTAAAATAAATAAATTATTCATACGTTTTACACGGTAAAATAATATGCTCTTAATTGGATTCATTTTACCAGATCTATGGAACAATCAAAGCCTCTCCCAACCGATCAGATTACAGTGATGATACACGGCATTGGATTGTGTTTGAAAATGTGACAAACTTTAGAGTCGAAGGTGGTGGCACCATCGATGGAAATGGAAGGATATGGTGGCAAAACTCTTGCAAGGTTAACGAAGCCCTTGTAAGTAATTCGATAAACTAACCAAGTTCTAGTGCATACTTTAATTTTGATGTTGATTTTTTTATAACCCAATTCTAGGTGCAGAGACTAACTACATTTTATTTTCTTTTGTGGAACAACCTTTCATTATGTCACAGCCTTGCACGATCGCACCAAATGTAAGTTTATGGGTCCTATTTATTTCCAAGAACTAATCATCATACCTACAGCACTGAGATTAGATTATTATTTTAAAAGAGCACTCTATTATTTAATTACTGAAATTTGTTTACTTAGCTTTTTTCTTTTTCTTGTTCAAAGGCCATGACTTTCTTCGGGTGCATCAACTTGCAAGTTGACAATATAAGGTTTCGAAATCCCCAGAAAATGCATCTTTCGTTTCACGAATGTGTGAATGTGAAAGCTTCGAATCTCATAGTAACTGCACCAGAGGATAGCCCCAACACAGATGGAATCCATGTCACAGGAACACAAAATATTAAGATAATGAACTGTCTTATTAGGACAGGTACGGGTCAATATGTTTTTAAATAATAATCTAATAACATAACATGTTCGGCTCTCAATTAGGGCGTAATTAAAAACATACTTACTATTAATAAAGAGCTAATGTTTTTTTTTTCTTTTTTAATCTATTGAAGGGGATGATTGTATTTCAATAGTAAGTGGGTCACGAAATGTTCGAGCTACGGATATAATCTGCGGACCAGGCCATGGAATCAGGTCTTCCATTAGACACATTCTACACGACAACTTTTTTAAATTATTTTAATTATAAATTTATTGTACTAATTTTGATACATATTCTGGTGATTTAATTGCAGCATTGGAAGCTTAGGTGCTGGGAATTCAGAAGCAGAGGTTTCAGATGTGATGGTTTCTAGAGCGAAAATGATGGGCACCACCAATGGATTGAGAATAAAGACTTGGCAGGTAAGACTTCATTTTCAAATATACATGTGTAATTTTGGGCATCTCCAACTTTGTCATTTAATTTCTCGTACATAGATCACTTCAATGACACAAATATGTCTATTTGGCTTCATGCATATAGGGCGGTTCTGGATATGCCAGCAACATCGTATTCAAAAATATTATGATGCACAACGTGAGCAATCCAATAATCATAAACCAATATTACTGTGATCAGGACGAGCCATGCCAAGAACAGGTACGGTTGAGTTTAGACTCACTTTCGTCAAAACGCAGAGTTTACAGTCTAACAACATAACGTACTAGGCTGTTTTTATATTTGCAGCTATGTACACGATGTAAAAGTTGAGCATTTATAAATATATATAATATTGATCATTTGAGGTGTCTTCGCATGCATGCAGACTTCAGCTGTGAAAATAAGCAATGTGGTGTATGACAATGTAAAAGGCACGAGTGCTTCAAAAGTGGCAGTGAAATTCGACTGCAGCAAGCGCTTCGGATGCCAAGGAATCTTGTTACGGAACGTTTACATAAAACCTCTTGGCGAAGGAACGGCCGAAGCTTCCTGTGAGAATGTTAGTCTAATCCATAGGGGGAGGGTTTCTCCAAAGTGTTCTTCAACAATTTAAAAAGTTTCTTTATTATTTACACATTCATTATACTTTGATTTCTCAGTCACAATATAAATGAAGCCAAATTGTAGCTTTTACTGTAAATAGCAAAGAAAAATAAATCTATGCTATGCAGAATTCTTTGTGTTTAACTTTAATTTGTTACGAAGAAAAATAAAGCCAAGCATGGCAATAATTTATAATACAAACGATATTGGGGGCGGGGGAAATCGAATCTAGGACTTCAGTGGAGGGGTAAATGCAATAATTTCAAAAGTAATATAATGTGCTTGAAAGGTTTCCAAAACCTCCGTGCATATGAAGTAAACCTCAAGCTCCTAGTTTTCCACCCTATCCTCGCTTCATAAGCTCCTATAGTTTCCTTGATGCAAATCTCTCCTCCTTGCTCTCCAATAAGGTCAGGAATTGGTGGTGATCTAAGGCTTAAAGACATGAGCCCTCTAAGGGTGAACACACTACAAAATATCTTCAGCAAATGGAGATGAAGAGACGGAAGAAATGGCCAGAATTCTGCAATCTCTCTATAGACCCTAACATTTAAAAAGGATAAAAAACACCTATAACATTAAATTTAAAATTAAAAAAAACAAACAAACAAACAAAGGAAAACCCCCAGCAGCATCCCCAATTCCCTCATAAACTAGTCACAAATCAAATGCAGATGAAATAACGGGCGCACATATAAAAGAGCACATGCAGGTTGCATGAGTCCAGCAATTATGTTTCGACCCAAAAGTTGATTTAACCTTTCAATTCATGACCAAAAAGGCTAAAGCTGGAGTAGATAATGAAACTAATTGACGGAGCCACCAAAGCACTATAATTCTGAAATTAGAATCCTAGCCAATAATTTTCCGCTACCATTATCATGCATTATAATACAAGTATATTAGTCAAACTAAACTAGGCTTCCAAGGACTCACTCATAACGACAAAGAATCCTCAGAAGCATTTCCGATGAACAACGGAAGGTCCAGTTTCATCATAGTCAGCTTTGGTTACATGCTGATTTTGTGGGAACACAACTTTGGCTAGTATGGCACCTCCCACCCATGCTGAATACATTGACAAATTCTCCGGCATATATTCTGGAGGCTGTAACCCACACCAAAGGATTAGAAAAAGAATTTGGCAATGCAGCTAGTACAAAGAAAACAGTGTTGGGAAAATGTTATGTGTAACCATTAAGTATTCTTCTCGCATAAACCCTTCATGTCAAAAACCACTTCCAAATCAATGAACATGTTTATTTTTTTAAACAAGATATTAGGCTTACATTCTATCGGAAATATCAGAAACACCAAACTGCCAACTGTCTGTAAAGAATTATGAAATATATAGCATCATCGCTTATTAACATGTAACAAAAAAGATAGGGAAATAACATACAACAGAAACTGTCACAACCATCAGTGTGGGCTGTGAAATATAGATGGCCTCAGAAACAAAAAATGAAAACTAGCCATACTTACATTTTTAGTATGTGGACCTCAAATTTGAAATTCAAAAGGTTATTTCATCATAATTATCAAGAATTTGTGGTTTTTAGACAGGGTCCTAGTAACAGTAAACAATAGGTGCGATGTCATGACCCATGAAGATGACATCATGTGGAAGAATGTTGACAATGTTTAGCTGATCAATTTTCAGATGTGCCCGGCCATATTTGAACTTTAAATCTACCCCACCCTATCTCAAGCTAAAACCAAATTGCAGATTTTATTAATAAAATAAATTACCTTAATTAAAGCAGGACGGACAGCAGATGAGCATAGACCAGCTTCTTTCTGAAACCTTTCTTCAAAACCTGGAATAAAAAGCAACCAAACTGCCAATCAACAATGACAGAGCCAAGTTTCTATTTCTTCTGAAACAAGAAAGTCAAACTCAAATTTGGTAATGCCCTTATAACAATTGTATTGTAAAATATGTCAAACAAGAAAAATGTAAAAGGAACTCTAAACCCACGGATCCCTACAACTTCATGAATCCATTTATTAAATTGATATAGATGATAAGGATAATGAAAGCGTCCAAAGAAAGGGCCTTGCATTGTAGATATCTAAATATAAAAAAGTCCAACGTATTCTAACAAGAACCAATTATTCAGGGAAAGAAAAAAAGGATAAAAGATAAAGAAAATATATCATACTAATTACTGCATCTGAAACGCACAAGCATCAGTGACTATAAAACTCACCAGTCATAGAAGCAGTGCCACCACAGAGTACAGTATTTTCCAGCAATTGACGGTGATTATCAGACGACACTGTTGAAATACAACGAACAAGCTGCTCAACAATCCCATGAGCCTCTAACCCCAATATAGATGGTTGGAATAAAGCCTCACCAACAGTATATTTTTCTCTTCCAATCGTAATGACCTAAATAATAACCAGTATTACATTCAGAACGTTGGCAAAAAGCAGAGTAATGAAAATAGGGAAAAAGAGGATTTGGGGAAGAGACATAGATGGTTATGCTTGGAGTCAACTTAACCATGACCTGTCTTGAGATGGGATCACTATCATTGTTGTGTCTAAACAAAGCAAAAATTCCACCTCTTTTAAGTAGAAAAAGAAAGAAGTGTTTTGAACTTTAAACATCATTCATTAGATCTTTCTTTAGGGTACAACAATATTAGAGAAGATCTCAGTGTGGATAATTTTGTGTTAAAACTCTTTATCCATGTAAAACATAATGAACAGATCCTGGATACAAATTAAACAAAACCAGCTAATTATGACAAGTGCAAGCCAGTTACAACATATATAACGGTGACTTATAGGCATACTATGACGTACTCAGGTTAACATATCCTTAACCCAAATAAGCTACATGTCTACATATGTATCTTTTCCATCTATCCAGATCAAAATTTCATAAAATTAACCAGACCTGTCCATCAGGAAGAGTATGTTGCTCCGTCTGGCATGCATTTTTGGTCTTCTCATAAGCAAGTTCATCTTCAGCACAACATGAATATTGCTCTTTTATTTTCTCAATATCAGACATCTTGATATTCACCAAAGGATTGGATTTCCCAAGCTCTTCAGCAAGTAACTTCGTCAAATCCATACCTCCAATTTCAAACCTTCTTGAGGCAATGTGCTGAACAGCACCTTCAATTACTGGTGCAATATCTGTGAAAAATGGCCAAAGATACAAAAAGGCACAGTTAAAAGACAATCGGTTTTGTTCCTTTTACATAATCCAGAGTAACATTCCATTGAATAATAATATTGACCACTAGCTTGCACATAAAGATGAATCAAATGACATTCACAGGTCATGCTGGTGAACCAAAACTCGCCAGCATTAGTTCAGTCACCAATACATCTTTATGACTAATATTGTTGTAGGGTCACCTAATGCACTGAATTGCTTAATGGATTGTTATGGCTTGGCATAGCAACACAATATCAACTATCAATAATATACTTAAAACACAAATTTGGATGACATAGATTTATAGCTTGGCATAGCAACACAATACCTTCTATTCCTAGATTTGTGAATTAAAACAAATACAAATTTTGAAGTGCAAATGAATTGATTGATTGTATGCTAGACAGGATAAATTGAATTTTGATGAGATAGATTTATTATATTTAAAATACATATAACTTAGCCTGCAGTAAGGAAGACGTAAGAATAGCTCAAACATCACTATGTATTCAATAAACAAGATTTCATAGGTTCCCTTCTGCAAGGTATATATATACCTATCTTTCCATGGCCAATATCAACAGTGCATCCGGAGATACGCCCTACAGCGTAAAGTGACAATACTGCTTGCTCTGATGCATAGAAGCCCGAAATGTTAAACGTTTCAAACATCAGTTGCACCAACTGCTCTCTGACAGCCTGGTAGAAAAATTGTATTTCATATTTTTTTAAAAGGAAATATATTAACTACACTGACAAAAAATGGAATTATGTAGCAGCAGAAAGTTCTATTCCTAGGATTTTTCTTTCTAGACAGATAGATTGGCAACTTCTAGGGTCACCAATCACTTTACGGCACTTCAAAACCACACAAGCCTTCCCTATCCCTCCTGTACAAGAGTTTTTATACCCACAAAATAAGGTAGCATGCTTGCATTCATGCACAAAGACAAGCAAGAAGCAAGAAACAGTGAGATAATGTTAGAAAGGCAACTCTCACCACTATGCACTGACAACAAACTGATTCAAAGCATAAAAACTTGAGGCCACAGAATTTCTTCTTTAAATTTACTTAAACAAGAATAGTAATGATTATAATCATGATACTGACACTAAGAGAGTTTGCACAATGTTACCAGTCTAGATCACAGTCTTTCAACATAATCCATTGCTTTTCTAAGTTAAACTATATAGGAACGATAAAACAGCAAAAATAACCACAATACTCAGGTTTTCAGCAAAGACTTGCACAATGACACCATTCTATTCCATATTCATTTAATGTGTTCAACAAAAAGCAGATTAGCTAACCTTGGGGGTACATAGTGGATCAGTAAATAATATCTGCCCTTCGTTGCCCATTTCCCATCCAAGGCCAGTATATAGAACATGATGCAACAGATCTTCCATGGCATCCCAATCTCTAATAAGACCTCGCACAACTGGATCAACAATGGTATCTTCAGATGATGAATTATCATTAATTGATCCATCATCAAGAATGCGCTTCATTTGGTTAGGAATTATCTGAAACATATGGACAGAAAATAAAAGTTAAGAGGAAAAACTAAAAAAGAAAAATGAGGTTTAGACCACAGCTATCTCATCAGCTTAGATTAGTCGAATTGAATTGTCATTATGTTGAATGCAAGGCCATGATAACCTTCACTATAAATGAAAATCTTCTTTTCCTAATACGCAATTTCTAGAAATGGAAACACACAAATTTGGGTTCATTGAGAACAAAAAAAATATTTCTTTTCCGAATATTATATGCACATTTTGAAAATAATATTTTTATACTTTCTCAAAATGTTTTACAAAGTCAT